CCCATGTTTAGTAGTTACACGGTCTGACAACAGATGCCATGTGTTACACTTGATACATGTGATATTCCCAACGGTATAAGTATCGTCACTTACTTGCTGCTCAGTCTAGTGCTGAGTACACTCCTGATAATATTGGTTGGTTAGTAATAAAATCTAATCCTCGCAGGAAGTAGTTAGTAATGTGCTAAAGGAGCAGCAAATACTCATTTTAATAGTACAACGTTTTAGGTGGAGACAAGGTTCCCTAGTCAAAGCGCATGAACATAATCTGAACTATCATAAACATTACATTAATAATTTTCTTATTTTTTAGAAAAGTGTTTTCTTTTTTTATCATGTTTTTATGATCGACATTTTCGTCGTTGAGTCATTTCTGTTTTTGTTCCCGACACCCATAATTTCATAAAGATCTATTAAAATTAAAAATAGTAAATTTTTGTCTGCATAAAAAATGTTTATTGTAATTTTTTGCCAGATTGTTGTTAAACAATTGTTGTTACACCGTTTGTGGGTATTCATATTTGTTTTGTTCTGTTATTTTAGTTGTCTGCTGCCCGTATGTCTCAAGTTAGATCTAATACAAGCTGCTATACCCGTGCTTTGCAACGGGAAGAAAATGTGACCTATAGAGCTATTAAAGTAATTCTGATGTGTGTTTTAAAATACTGCAACTCTATGATTTAGTTAGAAAAATAAACTGATTTAAAAGTGTAAACATACTTACTTTCAAACTCCTGCTCCTACTTTTTATCTCAATAGATCCAAAAGTATATGACAACATACCTTAGTGTAGCAACAGCATCAATTGCTTCATATTGATGCTTCATGAATGACATGTTTTACCATAATTCTTCAACTTTAGTCAAGCCTCTTTACATGTAGCTTAATATATAAATTACAAAATGAAACTTTGAGCAATACTTTACAAAACGTATACAACCTTTCTTTAAAACCAAACATAACCCTCCTAAATCTAAATAAAGCATCACAAACATCTTATTCGAGTAAATAAACAAACACCAGTTCATTGTACTGACCAGCTGTTTCATTAACTAAATTAAATTAAATCATGTAAACTTTGAAAGCATGCCAGGCGTAGCCCTTTGGAAATCGGCCTGTGGGGCAGAGCCTTTAGGAAATTCGTCCATATCAATACTTTTCGGCAAATCTACACACTCTAAGCTTCATTTTGATGTGACATATGCCTATATTTTTATTTGGTAAATGGCCTTAACCGTTTACATAAAATTTGATTGTATCACTTTAATAATATAATAGACTAGCTGTACCCGCGGGCTTTGCCCCGCTTAACTTCATAAGTATTCGCATGGCTCAATCACGTCCTGGTTGAAGTTCGTTCGCTACGCTCACTCACCTTCAGGTTGGAAATCGTTCGCTGCGCTCACTTGTTTTCAGGTTAGCTCGTTCGCTACGCTTACTCGCCTCCAGGTACTAAATATTGACTTGTGCCTTTGTGCTCAACAAGTTAAAATATTTATCTGACTCAAATATTGGATCTGACTCGAAACGTAAAGGGTGCTCAACAACTAAAACTACTAGTACATGGTGTTTGTAGAGGCGTCCACAAGATTGAGCGGAGTTATCAAGGGGATTATTATTATTAGGAGATTATTCTTTTTACCTACAATTTTAAATTAAAACCATATTTGTATCGATATAATTATTATTGGAGTGATTAAAATAGTTACATACTGTTCCCATCAGTAAAGGAAGGTAAAAAACACAGTGATTTTTCAGAGACCTGCATTTACATTTTGTATAATAAAACCTCTAGGGTGGTATATTAATTTACTGTAGTTTGTTTATTAAAGCAAAACTGTTATCATATCAGAAGGTTAATTGTAGGCTTTTTAAAAACAATTAATGAAGGTAAACAAAAAGGGTAACAATGAACTATGAACATAGGATTATAACACTTAGAAAAATTCTCTTTAACCACACGTGAGTGACAGTATCATGGGGAAAAATTAAGTGATACATACGTAATTAATATTTGATGAATATTTTCTGGACACGGGGTATTAGCTGAAACAGTTGATCTGCAGTCCAATGCTCAAATTCAATAAGCTTTAACAAACGGATTTAATTTTGTTTAGATTGATTTAACTTTCAATCACTTCAATATAATCTCCTTCAATAAAAGATCATCCATTTCTGGATATATTTCCACTCAAATATTCCCAGGTGAAAAGAGTGATTATGATATTAAATTTCTAAGCTCTTATTGAAAAGGTTGGTTTCCAGCACCGTTTAAAGAAATCACGAAAATATCCGTCCAAAACTCGGTGTCGTACTGTGGGTATCGTCTGAAACTTAGGTTAAATAGAAACAATGTCAATACATTTCAGGATTCAGGATTCATTTTCTTCGACTACTTATTTTCTTACTAATAAAGATGTTTAAGTATTTTGGCTTATTGCTTGACTTGATCTAGTAAACTATTTATAAGATTCTACAGTTGTCTCATATTCGTGTTTGAACATGTATCGTTTTAGTCATCCAACTATTGTTGGGAAGAAATGTTATTATATTTAAAAAGTAACAAAATTAACGTGCCAACCATAAATGCATCCTCCCTTAAGGGGATATGGCACTATGGCAGTGAAAATGCTAACTTCCTTATCATTATCACTAGGTCTTTCAAACGTATACCATGTGTTTTATAGGCATAAGAATAGGTATAAACATAGTTAAAAGAAATTTTTTTCGTCAAGTACACCCTTAGTAATTTTTTTTTTGTTTTTGTTATTAACTAAATTTGATATAACTTCAGTTCTAATTGTTGGATTTTAATCATTAAACCATCAGTTTGCAGGGAATAATACCCTCTAAATAATTAGGCAGAATTATAACTGTATCTTGATTTATTACTTTGTTATGGGTCATTTTGTAATTTAAAAATGAAATTGGTTTTCTGTGGAAATCAAATTTTTTTTCATTTTAGAATAGACATACATTTACAATTCTACCTAATTATTTAGATAATAACATTCTTAACACTCGGTAAAAATTTGAATTATGTAGCATAAACTGTTTTGAAGATATATTAAATTAAGTAGTTGAAAATGTTAACTGATTAGCGGGAATCGCACACTAAAAGTTACACTTGGCAGTGTAACCATGGTCATACTTATTGTTGAGTTATTGATCTCTTTTTTGTTTATGCAACCATTTTATTATTATTTATTATATTATTATGTAATTATTACTTAATTATTATATTAATAATAGTAATAATAATGATAATTATTATTATTATTACAGAAATAACTCAATGACCGGATTTTTTTTTACTATTTTCGGTATTTTTCTTAATAAAGCCCAAGCACTAAAAAAATATATTTTTTTTATTTTTGAGCGATTTTTCTTATTTTTAGCGAATTCCCCTATAGGGAAGTAGCTATTACCGTAGGTCTCATGGTAAGACCTAAGCCCGGGACCGATTTACTTTTTCATTTTGATGTCCCCAGAGGCCAAAAACACCATTCGTTCAAATTTTTATATATCTATATACTAGCTGTAACCCGCGGGCTTTGCCCCGTTTAACTACTTAATTTTCAAGATTATCTCGTTCGCATGGCTCAATCACGTCCTGGTTGAAGTTTGTTCGCTACGCTCACTCACCTTTAGGTTGGAGCTCGTTCACTACGCTCACTCACCTTTAGGTTGGAGCTCGTTCGCTGCGCTCACTTGCCTTCAGGTTAGCTCGTTCGCTACGCTAACTCGCCTCCAGGTTGAAGTTCGTTCGCTACGCTCACTCACCTTTTGGTTGCAAATTAGCTGTTGTCATAAATGTAAAAGAAATAATAGTGCTGCACCCTGTTGGTAATCCTTGTAACTTTAATGCTATTGAACATCATAGAACAGAACCAACTTGTTTAATTGAAACAGCTGTTAAGATTCAATAATTCCATTTCTCATAAGGTTAACATGGGAAACTCCAGAGCCACTGGGGCGGAGCCCGAAAGGATTTTTGAAATAAGAATATGCCTATATGTTAATCGGGAATGTGAGCTATCATCATGCCAAATTTCAGCCCAATCCGACCAGTATTTTTCGCGTTCACTTGTCACAAACATACATCCATACATCCAAACTTTCTCATTTATAATATTAGTAGGATAAATATATATATGTGTGTGTGTGTGTGTCCATCCGCACGATAACTTGAGTAATTTTTGTTCGATTTTGATAAAATTTGGTTTGAAGGTGTAAGGCGGGATAAACTTGAATGAGTTCGCGAACCAGCATGATCGGACTATGGAAACGGGGGTTTATGGGGTAAAAATAGGTTTTTCTCATTTTTGACCCTAAAAACACATAATTTCACAATTTCTTTTCAAACCATTTTGTAGAGCTTAAAAAACAAATAATTTAGTATATTGAAGAGTTATTATGCGCCTAATTGTTACGGAGAAAATTAAAAAAAAAATGTAATTTTAAAATTCCCATGTTATTCTTATGGAGAATTAGTCAACTGTTGTAGTTTGCTTGTTTATGAACATATTTTGATCAAATTTGGAAAATACATTAATTTCTTACTAAACCACTATACCTTTTAATATTTTACATTAAAAAAACTTTTTTACCCTCCCTGTTGCAGCAAACCTAAGTACTCATTAAACTAATTCTGTTTAAATAGGGAATAAATGTGATATTTTTAAGGAGACATTTTAGTTTAAATCTAATCAGGCAGATGGAAATTCGCTAAGTCTGCAGGTTTGCTGTGGCGGGGGTATTATCATTATAAATAATAAATAATAGCCAAATTTAAAAAATCACCTTTTTTTAAATTCATCATTTCACTGTCATATCCCCTTAAGTGTACTCTATTCTGAACACTTTCTTTCATAGTTTTTATAAAGGTAGTTTTATAAAGGTATTTTTACAATAATTTTGAAGTAAACTCATGAACATTAATAGAATGGGTATTTTTTTAAATACACAATTTTAAAATTATGTTATTAGTAGTAGAATCGTAGACAATAATTCCGTTAGTTCACTTGGCAGTAGCGAAGCCCACACGATTGTTGCCCATGTCAAACTGGGTGTAAAACTTCCTCATGAAGACGTCACCCAGTACGAAGAACGAGAGGTCGTAGAACCCTATGAAACCACTGATGCACTTGTGCTTGTCCTTTACCTGCAACGGTGAAATAACAGCATATAATTATGACTTCTGAACAGTTATGATGAGGTCGTGAACCCCTGAATATAATTTCCCCCACATTCACTGTACCTCTCAACATATATCTCCTTACTGATTGGTATTAACTTTTAGCCACTGTCAAACCAAATCGTTTGTCAAATATTAAAAGTTGTTCTTCTGTATGACAGCAGTGTAAACGAATTCGTTCCAAAGTAAATGATATTAATATACTCTGCGTTATTTTTATCATGGGCTATTAACGCTAACAATTATTTAGTAAGGATCACCACATTTTACAATTTTCAATTTTACACTCTTTGGAGTAGGTACTGCCATATAACAGCAACCAGGTTTATACAGAACACGAACCTACCTTGACAATGTAGTCGGAAGGGTGCAGTACAAAAGATTTTCCACTTATCACATAAGTTACGTCAGGATACTTGCTAATGTTGGAGCAATCGACCTAAGATATAACAGACGGGTTAATGATTATCATTGTATATACATGACTGAAATAAAAGATTCACCAAAGGTCGTTCAGATCCCAAATAGTACCTGCTACTGTACACCAACAAAAAAGTAATTGGATTATTTCTCCTGTAGTCCAGGCAAATTAGATCAAATATAGGGTGTGCTCCCCAAAAAATCGTCTAAAGCTGGAAAGTGTTTTAATACCTTTTGGGGGTCCCAAATAAGACTCCTATGAGTTTGCGACGGATTCTGACGTCTGCTTAAGTTTTGGGAGTCGAAAAACTATGAAAATTTTGCACTTTTTTCAGTTTTTCGCTTATAACTCTTAAATAACGAATCCTAAGGAAAATGTTGTTCGAAGGTGTCTTTTAGTGCATTAAATTCCGCGTCGATTGATGTTAAATATGTCAAAATCGGCTTAGCCGTTTAGTCACTGTAGCTTTTCAAAGTTGGGATATTTTCATCAACATGGCCAAAAGGTTGATTATTTGACCAGTTTTCGGCTTAAAACTCATAAACGACGCATGCTATACAAAAATGCGCCTGTAGTTAGTTTGGAAAACACAAAATTCTGCGTATAATGTTTTTTTTTATTAATCAATAACGGCAATTGATTGTTACCTACTTTGTATGGACGCCATTTCATTGAAAAAAAGTATTAAAGTTAAAGTTGGGAAATTTTAATAAAATTGGTAACAACATAGATCCTGTCCTTAAATGGATTATGAATTATTAGATAGTGGTTTATTCCATGATGGTCATCTAGAGGTTTATCTAATAAGGTGTGATGAGAGTAAGACACCCTATATAATTTTAAGTCTAATATTGTTGTCTGAGGTTCCGAAAATCCTAGGATTCATCCCAACCACCTATTATATACGATTTATCCCTGTATTCATCTTTCAGTTTTTGGATTACATCTTCTAACGCATGCTATAGAAAAAATGTTCCTGTTGTTAGTTTGAAGAGCATAAACGTCTGCGTAGAATGTTTTCCAATTCATTAAGATCGGCTTTACCATTTAACCGCTATTGATTGTTAACACTAGATCAGATGCTTGTCAAGTTTAAAATCTTACCATTGAAATCTGGCAAACAACCAGCCTAATTACAAAATACCCCCGCCGCAGCAAACCTGCAGACTAAGCGAATTTCCATTTGAATGATTTGATTTACACTGAAATGTTTACTTAAAAATATAACATCTATTCCCGATTTAAAAAGAATTAGTTTAACAAGTACTTAGGTTTGCTGCATCAGGGAGGGTAAAACTGTTTTTTTTGTAAAATGTTAATAGTTAGTAAGAAATAAAAACGTTTTCCAAATTTGATCAAAATATGTTCATAAACAAGCAAACTACAACAGTTTACTTATTCTCCATAAGAATGACATGGCAATTTTAAATTTACATTTTTTTTTAATTTTCTCCGTAACCATTAGGCGCATAATAACGCTTCAATATACTAAATTATTTGTTTTTTTAAGCTCTACAAAATGGTTTGGAAAGAAATTGCTAAATTTTATGTTTTTTAGGTCAAAAATGGGAAAAACCTATTTTTACCCCATAAAACCCCCCGTAAACCCCCGTTCCCATGGTCCGATCATGCTGGATCGCGAACTCGTTCGAATAAACGTAGGTTTACACGTTTGTACCAAATTTCATCAAAATCGGATCATTTTTGCTCGAGTTATCGTGCTAACGGACACACATATATATATATAAATATATATATAAATATATATATATATATATATGAATTTGAACGGATGGTGTTTTTGGCCTCTAGGGACCTTTAAAACGAAAAAAAAAATCGGTCCCGCGTCCAGGTCTTACCATGAGTACTACGGTAATAGCTTATTCCCTATATGGGAAATTCGCTAAAACATAGGGGATATGGCAGTGAATCTATCCACTAGTGTGACGTCATGGATCGTGCAGCATGGCCTATGAACAAGTAAGTGCTCATGAGAGCAACATCCACACTGTGGAGAGCTTTTTCCGAGATAGGGGAATCAATCATGTGGATCTAGCCCGATGGTTCGCTGGCAGGCCCATCGCAGTGAATGCTACCCATCAAGTTAAGGTATATTGTGGGATCACCTCTTCAACATATTATCAGCAAGTTGACAATATAAACTCCACGGATACGGTGGGATCAAAAAGAAATTCATCAAATGGTTCCAGTGTCATGACCCATTTACTGAAAATTGTTCGCTCATGTCAATCAGCTCAGCAGTTATCCCATATGATAGCATCAACGCGAGATATGTATAAATCATAATGGAAAGGCACAGCTTGCAAGAAAATCGTAAATAGGCAAGCCTATAATGACCATAAACTGTGCAGAATAAAAGGAAGTGGTGACATTAATCGCGAGCTGTGATGGCAACAGCAAAGGTTAAAGAAGAATCTGCCCCCTCAGTCAACACGTGATATTCCTCATTAAATCCAAGCCTCAATTTGAATCATACTTTGGATTAAAAATAGGTCCGTACCCACTAGCGCAGTTTGATGAAGAAAGCGTGATGTAGAAGAGTCGAAAATCTAACTATTCATGTAGCCTAAAACTACTCATGCTGTTTACTCCAATCAATGTGGATCTCACTGTGTTCTGACGGGTTACAACGCTTGGCGAAGTTGCAGAAGCAGGTTGGCCCTATACATGGTTGGGAGCAGAAAATATCCAAATCAAGTGAGGGTTGGTCTCTTCTAGAGGACACTTTCAACTAATTTTGACTTTGATTCTTACAAAAGGGGCTGCTCATCCACCAATCCTTTAGAGCTCATTTAAAATTGTACTTAATTCAGAGAGATAGGTATGGAAAATTAACGTCAATGGGTTAACTCCCATCACTACGGCTAATCTACCGGTTCGACAAGAACTTCTCAACTCCGTCTACCTATCTCGACCATCGTGTACATGTTAAAAAGGTTTACATTTTCTCGCTCCATATGAAATGCAGGAATATAATGAACTACTGTCTGAAAGACTTGCAAGGGGCACGATTATCTCAATTCGATATCTGACGAAAAAGATGTTACCGAATATCACCATTTGTGGCAAGACCAATAAGAGCAAAGAATGAATCCTTATTCTTAAGATTCCAATGATGAGAAGTAGAAAAGTTATATGGTAAAATCTACGAAAAATCCCAATTTTTTTTAATAGGCTAAATACATAGTAAAACTATGTACATCCGTCCCATTATCATCTCGTTTATTAAGCTAAAAAATAGCATTTTTGCTATATTTAATAAAATCTTTCTCGTTGTAATATCTTATTATATATTAGAATCGCTTAACATCATTCGGGAGTGTCCAGAGATGGAATCGTATAAATGGGAGCTTAGAACGAATTGTAGAATTTTTGTAACCCCCTCAACAATATTAGATTTAAAATTGCATAGGGGGTCCCCTTCCCTTCACACATTCTTGGATAAACCTCTGGATGATAACCATGAAATAAACCACTATCTAGTCATTCATAATCATAATTCTACGCCGAATTTTGTGTTTTCCAAACTAACTACAGGCGCATTTTTGTATAGCATGCGTCGTTTATGAGTTTTAAGTCGAAAACTGGTCAATTAATCAACCTTTTGGCCATGTTGATGAAAATATCCGAACTTTGAAAAGCTACAGCGGCTAAACGGCTCGGCCGATTTTGACGTATTTAACATCAATCGACGCGTAATTTAATGCACTAAAAGACACCTTCGAACAACATTTTCCTTAGGATTCGTTATTTAGGAGTTATAAGCGAAAAACTGAAAAAAGTGCAAAATTTTCATAGTTTTTCGACTCCCAAAACTTAAGCAGACGTCAGAATCCGTCGCAAACTCACAGGAGTCTTATTTGGGACCCCCAAAAGGTATTAAAACACTTTCCAGCTTTAGACGATTTTTTGGGGAGCATATGTCTAATTTGCCTGGGCTACTGGTGAATTAGTATTTTTAAAACATATTTTTAGAATAATAAAACCAAGAATAACAAAGTTTTACTCATTCAATGAATATGTGTTTAGTAGCTATTCCAGCTATAACTGTTTACTAATGAAATGAAATGAAATAATATTGTATTTCAAATCAATTGTATCCTGTATACATAAGTACATTGTATTTTTTTACTTAAAAATAATACAGCAAACATTTATATCTAGATAACAAAACGAAAATTATATACTGTAAAAATAAAGCGAACAAAAGTGTAAAAAAATACATTCTGGCATTTACTAAGCTACACTAAATAACGCAATTACACAATATGTATTTAATTTGCAAAAAAATAACATTACATATAAGTAGATGTCGTCATAGGTCCCGTTGAGTGCTTTATTGATGGTGTCTATGGCTTTGTTGGGCCCGTACAAGAAAGTAGTGCCGGAGTCTACCATTGCCTTGTAGGAGGAGTGAACTTGTTTTGATCCAAGCTTTACGCTGAAAACCAAAGAAATCTGTAAAAAGGTATGTTTTAAGGATCAAAAGTAGTGTAAATTCGACCCATAATTATTGTAATTTTAAAATAAGAAATTATTGACCGTTTAGTTGCTAGGGTAGACATCAATAGCTACAGCCATATGATAGAGGTACAGTAATGACAGAAGATCCTACAGAATATAACCATTGACTTAACTTATAACACGACTGAACTGGCTAGGGAGATTATTTTTCATTATTTTTGATAAATATGTATCTCTAAACACGTATGAAAGACATGTTTATGTTTAATTTTTTATCCACAGGTCAAGTGTAATAAAGGACCATATGAACCTAACCTTTCCTGTTTAAAAAAATAATTTTCATTTCACTTCATTTCAAGACTCCGTCTGAAAAACAAGACAACCTCTGAAAAGCGAACATGAAGACAATTTTTAAAATCTGTTCAAATGCCGAAAGATTTACTGTACTGTATTTAATGAAAAAGAACGACGAATTAATTATTTACTTCTTTAGAAAGTGTATACGATTGGATATAATGAGCTTACATACTTCTATCAAGCTATATGATGAAAAAGGGTATTCACCAGTCAATCCTGATCGTCCAGTGCTCTCTCTTGGTGACCGATGCGAAGGTAAAGTCCCCCTTGTAGTGAGCTGAGTCAACCCCTCCAAGGACCAACTCCGCCTTGCCACTAGAAGACCACTCAGAACCCTGCCTGAAACACACGTCAAATGTTCTCTCTTGGTAACCGATGGAAAGGTAAAGTGCCCCTTGTAGTGAGCGGAGTCAACCCCTCCAAGGACCAACTCCGCCTTGCCACTAGAAGACCACTCAGAACCCTGCCTGAAACACACGTCAAGTGTCCTATCTTGGTAACCGATGGAAAGGTAAGGTGCCCCTTGTAGTGAACGGAGTCAACCCCTCCAAGGACCAACTCCGCCTTGCCACTAGAAGACCACTCAGAACCCTGCCTGAAACACACGTCAAATGTTCTCTCTTGGTAACCGATGGAAAGGTAAAGTGCCCTTGTAGTGAGCGGAGTCAACCCCTTCAAGGACCAACTCCGCCTTGCCACTAGAAGACCACTCAGAACCCTGCCTGAAACACACGTCAAATGTTCTCTCTTGGTAACCGATGGAAAGGTAAAGTGCCCCTTGTAGTGAGCAGAGTCAACCCCTCCAAGGACCAACTCCGCCTTGCCACTAGAAGACCACTCAGAACCCTGCCTGAAACACACGTCAAATGTTCTCTCTTGGTAACCGATGGAAAGGTAAAGTGCCCCTTGTAGTGAGCAGAGTCAACCCCTCCAAGGACCAACTCCGCCTTGCCACTAGAAGACCACTCAGAACCCTGCCTGAAACATACGTCAAATGTTCTCTCTTGGTAACCGATGGAAAGGTAAAGTGCCCCTTGTAGTGAGCAGAGTCAACCCCTCCAAGGACCAACTCCGCCTTGCCACTAGAAGACCACTCAGAACCCTGCCTGAAACACACGTCAAATGTTCTATCTTGGTAACCGATGGAAAGGTAAAGTGCTCCTTGTAGTGAGCGGAGTCAACCCCTCCAAGGACCAACTCCGCCTTGCCACTAGAATACCACTCAGAACCCTGGCTGAAACACACGTCAAATGTTCTCTCTTGGTGACCGATGCGAAGGTAAAGTGCCCCTTGTAGTGAGCTGAGTCGACCCCTCCAAGGACCAACTCCGCCTTGCCACTAGAAGACCACTCAGAACCCTGCCTGAAACACACGTCAAATGTTCTCTCTTGGTAACCGATGGAAAGGTAAAGTGCCCCTTGTAGTGAGCTGAGTCGACCCCTCCAAGGACCAACTCCACCTTGCCACTAGAAGACCACTCAGAACCCTGCCTGAAACATACGTCAAATGTTCTCTCTTGGTAACCGATGGAAAGGTAAAGTGCCCCTTGTAGTGAGCGGAGTCAACCCCTTCAAGGACCAACTCCGCCTTGCCACTAGAAGACCACTCAGAACCCTGCCTGAAACACACGTCAAATGTTCTCTCTTGGTAACCGATGGAAAGGTAAAGTGCCCCTTATAGTGAGCGGAGTCGACCCCTCCAAGGACCAACTCCGCCTTGCCACTAGAAGACCACTCAGAACCCTGCCTGAAACACACGTCAAATGTTCTCTCTTGGTAACCGATGGAAAGGTAAAGTGCCCCTTGTAGTGAGCGGAGTCAACCCCTTCAAGGACCAACTCCACCTTGCTACTAGAATACCACTCAGAACCCTGGCTGAAACATAGGCCATGTGTTCTCTCTTTGGTGGCCGATGGGAAGGTAAATTCCCCTTGTAGTGAGCTGAGTCGACCCCTCTAAGCACCAACTCCGCCTTGCCACTAGGCGACCACTCAGAACCCTGCCTGAAACATATGCCAGGTGTTCTCTCTTAGTGACCGATGCGAAGGTAAAGACCCCCTTGTAGTGAGCTAAACCAACCCATCTAAGCACCAACTCCGCCTTGCCACTAGGTGACCACTCAGAACCCTGCCTGAAACATACGCTTAACTTTGTTTGTACATCAAATTTTGTTTTTCAAAAATGTTTTGTATTTAATTTTAAGAGAACATTAATTAGTTTTCTTTGCGATTTGTACTCATCTTCGAGTTAAATACATCATTAAATACGAGTTAATACATTGTTCAATATAACAATGTTAATAGGCCTAATAAACTTACTTGCCTAAATGCATCGCAAACACATGTTTATCGACGACTCCCTGCTTGTACATGTTGACAAAGGGCGGGTCCACGCCTAGCAGAGATACGGAGGGATAGGCAAGGCCAAACATACCGTCATACTTGTGAGACGCTGTGACGTCATTGATGGATGTCGCCTCTCCGAAAATCTGATTACTTAAATGCAACGATCCTACCTAAACATGGATAAAGTATAATTGAAATAGTTTGCTACGTCGAAAGACTCAAAATAAAACCAAAATACAAACATTTGTCTTTTTGAAAAAATGTATCAAGAATTCAAACCATTTACAATACATTATTAATAATTGTTAACTAAATTCAACAGAGACCGACTCAAAAAGTAAAAAAAAACAACATAGTTATTATAATTTTTGACATGAACTAACTGAATTGTTTGAGCAAACTGAAATGAACAATTTAACAATTGACTTTTGATTATTGCCCAGAATGCTAAGCATATCATAAGGAAAATCTCATGTGCTCAAAACCAAAACTCAATTGACGCATAATAATGAATTCTTTATAAGCTTATAGTTTAATGTGATAATGATTTGCACTAACCGATACTTTATCCTTCGACTTGTGGCCAGACACGGAACCAGCCCCGTATGTGATGCTGAACTTGGCCCCATCCTTCTCGTAGCTACTGCTGTCCTTGTGGGAGTAGGTGTTGTGCTTCTCTACAGTTGCAAATAATAAAAATACAAATCATTATAATACATCTGAAGAATCTAACCTAAAAATTTTAATGTAAATTTAAAATGGGGTATTTATTGATGTTGCATATTCTTTCACCACGTCCTTTGTTTATACAGTATATTCTAATAACCGGTTTAGCCATTTTCTAATAATTTAGTGTGAACCACAAAAGATATTTAGCCGTAAGATATGTAAAAGTTATATTTATAAGGAGACAGCCTCTTTCAATCTTTCATTTGCCCGTTCTAATAAGCATCGGTGTATTATTTGGGCCGTCCCCATATATCCTGGTCTCTCCGGGGAGCGAGTTCTAGATGGATATGCCGCAACCCCTAGGTCTAGCCTAATGTCTAGTATAATGTCCTAATGTCTAGTAATGTCTAGTAGTCCTAATGTCTAGCAATAGGTCTAGTAATGTGAAAAACAACCTAGGCTCGTGCCTAGCGTCCTAGGACAAAAAAAATCCTGGACTCTCCAATAGAAGTTTTAGCTCCAACAAGAGTTCGGCGCTTGAATGCCGAATGACGTCAACATTTTACTGCCAAGGTTTATTTCCTTTCCTGCTATAACAATGGTAAACCTACGCATGTTTTAGGTTTACTAAGACTATACCACTTGCTTATGTTACTGTTTCGTTTGTTAAATGATAATGCACAAACTTTACTCTTGAATTGACACATTGGCAGTCTGGAATAGAACAATGTGTTTCTAAAGGCCAAGTTGAGGTAGTAAATAAAATAAAAGAGAAAAGTCAAGACATTAAAAACACCTACATGCCAAACATTTAGCAATGAACATGTTTAAAGATATTGTTACGTTTTAATTCCGTTGCAATCAAAGCCTTTATTCAAATAATCACTTGCCACTCACGGCAGTAGCTGTCCTTTTTCTTGCAGATGCTACTGGAGGGCACCCACAGGTCTGCAGATCCCGTGTCAAACTCCACGACGACACTCTGTCCTGGGCTGCCGATCTTGATGGGTGCGAAATAGTACATCTGCAATAAGGATATTGAATAGACAAATATTCGTGTTACAAGTGCGCAACTTGATCTATTACGCGCTAATTACAATTTAAATGTTTCTGTGTATGTACTTACTTGTAAAACTAGCGAGAGCATCAGTTTTATCCAGTTGAAACCACTTTGGACAAGAATTGTACATAATATGCCGTCACTTCAAAGCTACAAACCATACTAACCTCAATGTTGTAAGAGCGTTTGTTGAACACTTATAACATTGTAGTTGTAACAGACATAACATTGTAACAACTACAATGTTATAAGTGTTCAACAAACGCTCTTACAACATTGAGGTTAGTATGGTTTGTAGCTTTGAAGTGACGGCATGATGTCTTTGGCTACTGTACAATTCGGCAAAACGAGAACACACTCCAGAGGTACAATTTTGTTTAAATTGATTTAAGTGAAAATACAATCACGCAAATGGAAATTCGCTTAGTCTGCAGATTTGTGGTGGAGGGAATATTTGCTATACGTTCTCGTGTTATTTGTAATAGGCTTGTCGTCTCATTGTGTTGTGAGCCTAGTTGGTTGTACTCACGTCCTGGAAGTCTTTGAGCTTGACGTCGACGCCACCCTTGGCACTGCGGACCGTCCTCAGGTGGTGACCCAGGTCAGCCAGCGAACCATTATGTCTGTGATATCTCTGGAGGTGGATAGTGGTCACATTGCTGTCGAACAAACCACAGTCAGCAGTCAGAGGGGGAGAATCAACATAGCCACATAACTGCGTTTGAACAAGAAGTATTCAAACACCTCTTTTGTTGATTATATATTGTTTAAAAAAAATTATGCGTATTCTTGCATATAGCACCGTAGGTGTCAAGGTAAGAACTAGACACGATTTACTTTTTTATCGATTTACCTTTTCATTTTGGCCTCTGGAGGCCAAAAACTCGATTCGCTAAAATTTGTGTACATCTACAGAGTGTCCCGTAAATCTCTGGACACATGTATATAGCGTTATTGCTTAGGTCAAGACAAACACATTTCACCATATAAACATGGGTCTGTGATACATAGTTTTCCGTCTGTCTGTATTTATGTGTTTTTTTTACTACAAAATTAATAACTCCTAAACTGTTTGAGATACAGCGTTGAGATTTTGCAAAAATGTTAATTTTTTTTTTAATCATACTAAAAAATCATGAACCGTTTCAAAATGGCGGCCATTTAAAATATTTGATGCCAAATTTCACGAAAACCTTTAACTTATCAAAAAGAATCTCTTAACAAAATAAAATTGCATGGGACAAAAAAATAGTACCTAATTTTTATATAGTATTCAATGATACCTTATTATTTAAGGAAGGATGAATAATAACAGAGAAATGTGTTCTTTTTCGTATTGCATGACCACTTTTCTCCATTTAAACAATGCTAATACCCCTTTTACATAGTCTAAATATCTTTACAAGCATCTGTTGTACGTCAATCAGGAGTGTCGATGTTATAATATTTAATATTAATATTTAATATTATTATTTAATATTAATGTTTAATATTAATATTTAATATTTATAATATTAGTATGAAGTATGATTAGTAAGATAAGTATTTTTTTATTTTTTTTACTATTGAATTTGTCTGCAACGAGAAATACTTAAAAATCAAGGAAAACGTATTGGTTTTTTTGACTGTTAAGTTTGTAACTAGTTATTTAGCTATCATAACAACTAAATGAATCCTTTGTTTTTGTTATTTTTAAGTATAATTGTTGTTTATTATCCATTAGTCCATCGTACCATGGGAACTGGGGTTATGGGGTAACTGGGGTAGAAATAGATGTTTCCCATTTTTGACCCTAAACACACAAAATTTTATAATTTTTGTTTAAACCAGTTTGTAGAGTTTAAAAAAAGAAATAATTTTGTATATTGAAGCGTTATACCACAACGCTTCAGTATACAAAATTATGTTCTTTGCCTAACTGTTACTGAGATGACTCAAAAAATTGTAAATTTAAAATTCCAATGTTTTTCCTATGGAGAATAAATAAACTGATGTAGTTGGCTTGTTTATCGATACATTTTCTTCAAATTTGGCAATTTTGTTTATTTTAAACTAAGCTACCAAAATTTCAATAAAAAAACACACCGCAATACTTCCTCTATAGCAGCAAGCCTAAGTACTCACTAAAATTAATGTTATTTGAATAAAATTAAATGTTAAGGGAATATTTTAGTCAAATCCAGCCAGGTAAATGGAAATTCGCTTAGTCTCCAGGTTTGCTATGGTGTGGGTATTATTATAAGTGTCCCGAAGTCAAAATATCATAATGGTAGCCTGTTTCGCCTGTTCACTGCTAATGGCGCACATATGTCAGCAGATATATAAATATATGATGTGTAAAATATATATCCATTATATGTATGGGATACATTTTATCCAATTTAAGATGAATTAGCACTCCACATACATGATTATGTTTATGTTTTTTAGCCTAATATAACGGTATTATAAAATATCATTAGCAGTGAATGTGTTAAATAAATCGTCAAAATGCATATAAACGTTCTTAGGTGCTCAATTAGATTTAAATTTATTCAGCCCATTGAAGAATATGTAACGATTTGGAGAAGAATAAATTGAAATGAGGTGTTTAACAGTTTTCAAACGTATGTTGTTCTTATCTAAAATATGAAGCAATAAGAAACTTAACATATTATTAATATTTTAAAATGTGAATGAACTATACATAAATATCTATTTTTATAACTATGAAAATGCAATACCTCATTAAGCAATTAATTGCGTAGAAAAGTTGTATTTGCTGTTAAACTCCATTACTATTAACAGTTAACATTTTTGAAAATAATATTGTATTGTTAAATACAATATTATTGGTACATTGTTACAATGAATAGGTACATTTCTACAACAATGCCAAGAGGTCAGAGTCATTGTTAGACCAACTGTTCTCAAAACTGAAAACTATTGAAAAATGCTTTTATACAGGGTGGTCTGGACCTAGCGTTAAACATTTTTTTGGGTGGTAGAGGAACACAAGTGTGAGTCAAATCCACAATTGAAACAAATATATTCCATACACCCACTTGCAGAAACATTATTTAGATTTTTTTATAAAAACCTGCACATTTACACCAAATTTTAAAATTCCTCTAGTATTTTCACCTGAACCCCAGGGATTTCTTTGCGGAAGAGAGCTAGAGCCTGCATCAGAGAGAATGGAGGACATTTCGAAAATAAATTAAAATGAACTTGCATTTTAGTTTGGTTATCAATCCAATACTTAGAATTCGTTTTGAGCTTGTCTAGGTACAAATTTTGTTGCAGCCTCATGCTGTTTCTATAATAATAAAAACTGTCATGTGTGTCTTTTAGCGAATTTCCCTATAGGGAAGTAGCTATTACCGTAGGTGGCACGGTAAGACCTAGACCCGGGACCGATTTACTTTTTCATTTTGATGTCCCCAGAGGCCAAAAACACCATTCGTTCAAATTTTAGCGAATTTCCCATATAGGGAATAAGCTATATAATTATAAATATATATATTATAAATATATATATATATATATGAATTTGAACGGATGGTGTTTTTGGCCTCTAGGGACCTCAAAACGAAAAAAAAAATCGGTCCCGGGTCCAGGTCTTACCATGAGTACTATTACCGTATTACCGATTTACTTTTTCATTTTGATGTCCCCAGAGGCCAAAAACACCATTCGTTCAAATTTTTATATATGTATATATATATAGACTTATATATATATATACGTCCGTGAACGCGATAACTTGAGTAATTTTTGTCCGATTTTGATGAAATTTGGTTTAAAGGTGTAAAGCGGGATAAACTTGAATGAGTTCGCGAACGAGCATGATCGGACCATGGGAACGGGACTTTATGGGGGGTTTTATGGGGTAAAAATTGGTTTTTCTCACTTTTGACCCTCAAAACACAAAGTTTCCCAATTTCTCTTTAGATCTTTTTAAAGAGCTTAAAAAAACAATTAATTTAGTATGTAAAAGTATTTTTGTTCGGTTAATAGTAACGGAGAAAATTAAAAAATCGTAAATTTAAAATTCCCATGTTATTCTTATGGAGAGTATTGTCAAATGTTGTAGTTTTCTTGTTTATGGATATATTTTGTATTTTGATCAAATTTATTTATTTTGTACTAAGCTATCAATATTTTACAAAAAAACACACTTTATTAGTTTCCTTGTAGCAGCAAACCTAGGTACTGTACTCGTTAAACCTAATGTTATTAAAATATATTTAATTGAAAATCAATTAAGACAAATGGAAATTCGCTTAGTCGGCAGGTTTGCTGCGGCGGGGGTATTTGGTTTGTTATAGTGTGTTTTTGTTTTCCTTAAACCATGTTTTCTACAGTTATAACTGGAATAGCTGTACTTAAAAGGAAGCGAATTAAATGCCTCATCATATCTTTTAAAAGCTAAGATTTTAGAGCAGTTTTTTTGCTAATCTTTAGTATTTTTCTTAAGACTAGTGTCTGTAGGCTTATTTTCAACTTTTTTTGTGAAAATCAAAACTTCTTAGTTCTAATCAATTTAAATAGCAATTCTGAAGCTTTGGGCTCACCAAAAGCTGTCTATTCTTACATAGAATTTAATGGAGAATATGATGGTAGTATCAACGTTATAAAAATGTATGAAAATACTAGAGGAATTTTAAAACTTTGTGTAAAATGTACTGGTTTTTTCTAAAAAAATCGAAATAATGTTTCTACAAGTGGGTGTATGGAATATATTTTTTTAATTGTGGATTTGAGTCACACTTGTGTTGCTCTACCACCCGAAAAAATTTTTTACGCTAGGTCCAGACCACGCTGTATGATAGGTAGGCCTACGTTGAATAATCATGTTGAATAGATTATTTATTCGTTTAACTATTACGATTGAAAACTTATTACTTTGTCTTTAACTTAGATGCATGAAAACGGTGACAAAGTCACAACTTAGTTTTGCACTTGATAGTTTCAGTAGTTTTCAATGCAACGCAACAGTAAATATTTTTACAGAATAATTAAAATATATAATTTATTTTGGATGTCCAACAAATTGCATGGAAACTTTGATGTTTTTCTTTGGCATGATATGAAGAGAACCTGAAATTTCTTTGGCAAAACTTATTTTAAGAAGAATGTTTCTGGAAAATGTTTAATTAAACCACGCTAGTTGTAGTCATAAAAATGTACTACCAACCTTAAATACCTATCATGGAAAGTGTATATGTGTATATAACTGGTTAATTGTAATAATTGATTACTACCTGGCAGTGCAGAAATAAAACCACAACACAGATGCAATCACTACGTTCAAAACATCCATATGTTACCAGCACTGGATACTGGGTGCTATCAGCTTGGAGTAGGCCTACCTACAAGAGTGTTTGTTCTTGCTATCGCTAAAAAAACTAGGCCTACCTAGTGTCGAATACACCGCGTGGAATACATTTTTATACGATTTGATTATGGTACCAATAATTCCATATAATTTAAGGGGTTTTTTAGGACAGAGTGGGTGTAGTGCTAGCCTGCTACTGAGAATGCCGTATGTTCCTGAGAAACGGTTGGAACTTTCTTGGAAGTTCTAAATTGAACCTAGCTGTCCTTTAGCATTTCCTATTTACTAAACGTGTTAGTTGATATTACAGTACAGTTGATCTTGATTGTTACAATGATTATGTCATTCCTTTGTACAGGATGGGGAAAAGTACCGGGACGGATCAGTATTTTTTTTTAATCACAAAGATAGAGATTCAAAACATCGTACACAGTTGCTGGGCTTTATAATCATTTTACACTTTATTCAGTGATTCGCTACCTTCTTAGGGGTGCAGGTCACTAGGGGTCAACAGAAAGTCTTAAATGTAAGCAGAGGTTGATATGGATGTAAAATTAAAGAGTTTCAGGGGATGCTATGCCACTAGAAGTCAGAAGACAATAATAAATACGAGCATATATTGATATGCACATCAGGTATTTTAAAGGCATTTTTTATAAGAATGCAATGCAGCTAATTTGAGCTCAAAATAACAACTGAGTAAAACATGACAGCTGTTTAAAGATTCAAAACGGAAGATTCACGAAATCTTAGAACGGGTGCCATTTTTGACTGGGTGCTGGGTTGTCCTCTTAGTTTTAAATTTTTGGCACAAACTATTAACATTAAAAAAAAAACCTTTTTTACCCTCCCTATTGCAGCAAACTTAAGTACTCGTTAAACTAATTTAAATAGGCAATAAATGTGATATTTTTAAATCCTTACCACTCTCGTGTCGGCCGTCTCGCAATCGTATCACATGTCGGCTTAAAAAAACTTTTTTTTAATTCTGTAGGAATTTTTTTAATTATTATTAGTGTAATTGGGAGGAAGTTAAGATACTAGCATGCTTAATGACCTGCATAATAAATAACACCTAGGGCATAGACCCTTAAAATGATAGTGGTTAAGGAGATATTTTAGTGTAAATCCAATTCATTTACAAGCACTGTATACACTGACATTAGTAACTATGTCAGTATTAAGTATAGTCATATAATTAAACTCAATTCATGTTGTTTAGTTTTGCAATCAATTTTAAACAAGTTTATGGTTTTATGTGAATTAATATCAAACAGCTTCTCTTCATGCTATGCTTAGGACAACATACAGTAGGCCTAATATGACCAACACAACAGAAACATAATTCCAAATGGATAAGTTATGTATCTAGGCCATAAATCGCACTTCGTGATCATAACCATCCATGCATTAGTCACTTTGCCCTCGGGACTTGCACTGGCTGTATTGGCTCCTACAACTAGACTAGGCCTACTTCTATCCTTTATCCACTTGTATGCTAACAAGTATTTTTGCGTGGAAACCTGTTTATAAATATATCGGTTCAGAACTATTTCTATTATTGGCTTAAATTATCGATTGGCTTTTCGTAGAAGGAGGCCTCCTGTATAAATATAGCAACAAATCCACACAAGGCATCTCCCTGTATTTCCCACTCATCCTACACTCATAGTTGGGTTAAATACGTCCCGTTGCATACCCATCTCATTTTGTAATGGTATAGATATACAGTTCTCCTCACCTAAATTATTAGTATACTCTAAGAGCAGAATTCGGTCAATGTCATTTATCTAAATCTTCTTTTGTAGTATTTTGTAATCTTTTTTCTAAAAGTCTTTTGTAGGTTGTATTTGCAACCTGTTAAAATAGTAATATCGTAGATTACTTTGTTCATGTGAACAACAGTTATGATTCTTATGGACTGTTATACATGTTTTGTTCTTTTTAACCAACACAATCACTAATCTAAACATTTTTAAATATCTAATATACATCCGATGTAGGCAAAATAATATTTAACAGTTAAGGTGTAATATGTAAGATTGTTTCAACTCAAATAAATGTCAAACAAGCTGTAAATCTGATAATAATACTTATAGTAATTGTCATATTATCTCAGAACAAACCCCCACAGATGTAGAGTGTTGAGTGTAGAGAGTAGAGGGTAGTGAGTCGCTACATTGTCACTGTTCGTTGTACAGTGTTTAGTGACGTCGATGTCTAGACTTTAGACGCCCAAATTCACAATTCGTTGATCACTCTGGGGGGCTCCGTCTCAGCTTTTACCTAATGAAAACTATAACAATGCGACAAATCCTGGAACTTTCGCTCTTTTAAAAGTGATTCATCGGTGAAAGTATCACAGTCGGGATATTTCTAATATTCTGATCACTCTTTGTTCGACTGATCTATGAGGTCGCCTTCTCTCGCCTCGGTTCCACGGTCTTCTTTACATTACTATACTTGTTGTTATTAAAGTAATAGCAGTTTGTTCCTCATAATATTTTTGTTTTTGTCTTTTAACCAATCAGTATAACTGTTGTGCAGTAGTTGTAAAATTATTATCATAAAGTAATAGGTATTTTTTTACTATTGAATTTGTCTGCAACGAGAAATACTTTAAAACTATGGAAAATGTATTGATTTTTTGAACTGTTAAGTTTGTAACTAGTTATTTAGAAAATAAATATAATGTTAATTCGCATAGAATTTAAAACCATTTATGTTACTGTTTGGAAAATTACATTCTCTGGTTAGTTATTGCATTTTATTTATTTTTTTACTAGTAGTAACGAGGTAGCAACATTTTACCTAGGGAATCAAAACAAATAAACATCATCAACATTTTTTACATACTTTCTCCCATTATTTTATCAACAACCTTTATCATGGGTAAGTGGTGGGAGTAACTATGATACTTTATGGGGTAAATCACAAAATAAATAAATAAAATTAAATTCAAACTCTTGGCATCATAGGGCCTGTATCATTTTGTTAAGAATTAAAATGGCTATCACATACAAAATGTTAATCAACATCGATCAAACAGTTCTTAAATAAATATGATTTTTACGTTAACCCTACACTAAATATAACTATTTCAAATCAACACTTCGTACTGTAAACATGGCAAGTCAAGAAAAGCTCTTAAAAGAAGTACGGTATTTATTCATTTGTTTGTGGAAAATTCACTATTAAAAAGCAAAATGTTAAAATAACGAAAAAAGCGCCCGGAGATATCATGTACTGTACTAGTACCCAACCAACCACATATCAAATTTCGTATTAAATTCGGACCAAAGGTGGGGTCTGTAGCTCTGTACACGTCATCCACACACACACAAACAGATATAAATTAGACAACCACTTTTTTTGGGTTCAGGCAGTGGGACCCGAAACGGATACTGTGTATCCAACCAAAACTCTAACTTTAATGTTGACGAAAACAATACTGTACTTCCTCACATTTTGTCTCCTACTAAGTATAGGGGGGGGGAATGTATTTTACTTATTATTTTTATGGAAACCTATATAAACCTAATAATGAACCTATAAGGTGGTTAACCCATGTAAGACAAGATAACTTTAAAACCCATCAGGCATTAGATATAAATAGCCCCACCGCAGCAAACCTTCAGACTAAGTGAATTTCCATTTGCCTGATTGGATTTCCACTAAAATATTTCCTTACAAATGTCAGATTTATTCCCTATTTAAATAACAGTACGAATGCATAGGGTTTTGTGCTACAGGGAAGATAATAAAGTGAAATATTGATAGCTTGGAATAAAATTAACTAATTCGCCATGTTTGATTAAACAAGGAAACTACCTACTACAGTTTACTTATCCTCCATAAGAATAACGTGGCAAATTTAAATTTACAGTTTTAGCGAATTTCAGCTATTACCGTAGGTCTCATGGTAACTCCGTGCTTTTTCGTTTTGAGTTCTCCAGAGGCCAACACATGACCATCTGTTCAAATTATATCTTTATCTAATTAAATATACAGCCGCATGTGTATAATATATACCCCCGCCGCAGCAAACCTGCAGGCTACGGGTATTTCAATTTGTCTAATTGGATTAATACAAAAATATTTCCATAAACAAGGCATATTTAAATGGGAAATAGATTAGATTTAAATCTTTAAATTTCATTAGATTTAACAAGTATCCTTGCAAATATTCTCGACTTAAAGCTGCAAATATTTTTATATTTTTTACCACGGTAAATAATTAAATAAATTATTTTTATACAGGGTGTCCCGGAACTCTCTACAAATTTTTAGGGCATTGTTCCTGGGTAGTTAACATACCTAAATATCATATTTAAATTGTCCGGAAGTCCTTAGTTACTCACACAGCCGTCATTTTGTTTTTTAAGTTATTAATTTTTTTCTCAGGAATGGTTAAACATACGAAATTGAAACTTTGCACAAACATTTATGACAACTAGACAAAGCTACCAAAAAACTATGACGATTTTTAAAATTCATAAAACAAAATGGCGGCCATTTTAAATTTTGTTTCTTAAATAACTCGAAAACCGTTGGTTTTACAAAAGTTTTACAAGAATAACTTTTTAAGGCAATTTTATTACAAATCGATTTACACCTTAATTTTGAAGATTGAACAAGTATTAACTGAGATATGGTAGTTTTAGTGATACGTAACCGCTGGAGGTTAGTTGCAGCGCATGCTGAAAGCGGTCACGTATCATTAAAACTACGGTACCATATCTCAGTTAATACTTGTCCAACCTTCAAAATTAAGGTGTAAATCGATTTGTAATAAAATTGCCTTAAAAAGTTATTCTTGTAAAACTTTTGTAAAATCAACGGTTTTCGAGTTATTTAAGAAACAAAATTTAAAATGGCCGCCATTTTGATTTATGAATTTTAAAAATCGTCATAATTTTTTGATAGCTTTGTCTAGTTGTCATAAATGTTTGTGCAAAGTTTCAATTTCGTATGTTTAACCATTCCTGAGAAAAAAATTAA